AATTACAACTGAGATTTCATTATGGTATTCTTTAGCAAGTAAGTGAGCAGATCCTGAATCCATTGCTCACATTTAGCAGCAACGCCGAACCTGGAATAAGTGTGAGTACCATAGGCTGGTTGGTGCAGCACAGCGCTGCTGCCTGTCACACAACTTTCATGCTTGTACACAGTTTATGGCAACTTAATAAGAAATAGGAAGAGGAAATCGGGAAATTAAAAAAATCAAAATGTCTCTAAAAAAACTCTATAAAATATTAATGACTTTTTAAATTGGCAATTCCAAGATATTTGGAATCTGTCAAAGTATTGGTATTTATGCTGTATATTGAGTCAGAAAAGAAAAAACCCCAAACATTAATGTACAGCTATTAGTCAAAAACAAAGATAAATGTAAATGATTCTGGTCCTTCACATCTGCACAAGGGAGGCTACTTTTGGATAAAAGCCTATTTTTTTGAGTTTTGAGTCACACAGTGAGTTAAGCATTAGGTTGCCAAATACATGGTCAGAACTTCAAACCCACCAGCTAGCTGCTCCTAGGAAGACAGACGAGGCTTTCTGCTCCTAGAAAGTTAATACTCTCAGAAACTCTAGAGCCGTTTGGCTTCTCCTACAGGAAATCTACTCGGTGCACTGGGTGTGGTGTCAGCACCTCAAAGAACAAGGACTCACTTTCAAGCGACGAAGTACTTCATCGTCTGTTTATATAAAGGGTGTGAGACTTGCCATGTGCTACAAACCCTTTGACGGCAAGGGTTATTATCTTATGAAACTTTAAACACTTAGCACAGTAATGGTCATAGAACAGATCCTAAGTAATTAGGTATGAAATTCATCTTTCTTAGTCACTTGCTATGTTCCACACACTCTCTTTCTGACTTGCTTCTATACACTGAATAGTTTTTCAATTAAGAAAGCACCTCTGTGTTACTTAAAAGTTAATAAAGCACCTTAGGATGAAAAACCTTTAGTTGAAGTTATTCTAGTACCAAGGAACACACATTTCAATTTTAGCCTACTTTTCAGTTGGCGTAAAAATATTCATGATATAAAAAATATTCAGATATTTAGGATACAGATTATGATTTGATAATATTAACCTTATCATCACACACGAAATTCTGAAGCCTTCAAGCTGGAGTCCCCGTGCACACTCAGTTGAAAAGACATAATAGTGATATAAATATTATTCTTAAGTGCAGTACGTTTTCTTTCTTTTTTAAAAAAAAAATAAACTCTTCCTTTGCTGCATATTGCTAATTTCCTAGCTGTGAAGTGGAAAAGTAATTACTCATGGTTTGTCTAAGTTGGTGGTCTGCTCTGTTGATTAAAAAAAATCTATGGTCGATATTGACTTAATGAAACACATACTCTCATGTCATCGAGGTCACTAAGAATGAATAGAAGGCTAAACTAAAATAGACGAAAACATATATTAAGAGAAAGAGATACAGACAAGGGTTCAATTATTTTGTTTGTGCTCATCAAATTTAAAAATACATCTTCTAAAAAGACCTAAATCCTTCTCTTCAAGTACCTGATAGAAATTTCTCAGTACTGAACTATAACTGAACCCACATAAGGTTAACCCAAACTTAAGGAAATGATGTAATAGGCATAAATTAAACAATGGATATTTAAAACTTAAAATGTAATTATTGATAATAAATTATTAGCTGTATGGCATTCTACCGCCGAATTGCATGGAAATATCTAAGTTACATCTTTGTGTCCGTGTGAGCCCATGTGTCAGGGTAGAACTGTCTCGTGGGTGCTCTAGGCTCGCGTGAGCCCATGTGTCAGGGCAGAACTGTCTCGTGGGTGTTCTAGGCTCGCGTGAGCCCATGTGTCAGGGCAGAACTGTCTCGTGGGTGTTCTAGGCTCGCGTGAGCCCATGTGTCAGGGTAGAACTGTCTCGTGGGTGTTCTAGGCTCGCGTGAGCCCATGTGTCAGGGCAGAACTGTCTCGTGGGTGTTCTTGGCTCGCGTGAGCCCGTGTGTCAGGGTAGAACTGTCTCGTGGGTGTTCTAGGGTAGAACTGTCTCGTGGGTGTTCTAGGCTCGCGTGAGCCCATGTGTCAGGGTAGAACTGTCTCGTGGGTGTTCTAGGGTAGAACTGTCTCATGGGTGTTCTAGGGTAGAACTGTCTCTTGGGTGTTCTAGGCTCGCGTGAGCCCATGTGTCAGGGTAGAACTGTCTCGTGGGTGTTCTAGGCCCGCGTGAGCCCATGTGTCAGGGCAGAACTGTCTCGTGGGTGTTCTAGGGTAGAACTGTCTCGTGGGTGCTCTAGGCTCGCGTGAGCCCATGTGTCTGGGTAGAACTGTCTCGTGGGTGTTCTAGGCTCGCGTGAGCCCATGTGTCAGGGTAGAACTGTCTCGTGGGTGTTCTAGGCTCCCGTGAGCCCATGTGTCAGAGTACAACTGTCTCATGGGTGCTCTAGGCGGTCGTTTTTAGGAAGGAGATCCCGAGGTCTTTCTTCCATGAAGGCACTGCGTGGGGTCCCACAGCCAGCCTTGTGATAAGCCGTCGAGTGCTTAACCATCGAGCCACCTGAGCTCTTCCCTTCAGGTTACACTAAGTTACGTCCAAAGACACGAAGTACTGATAACACACACACACACACACACACACACACACAAGCACATATTCTGGAACGGAGTAATGTTAATGTAAGAATATCATCTCAAAATAATTTATTAGAATTTTATAGTAGAAAGCTGCAAATATATGGCCACGAACAAGATGAGCAGGAATATATCAAAATGATTTTTTTGGTATGGTACATACATTGGTAGAGATGAAAAGTAGCCTAATCACTCAAACCTAATTGTAATTGGCTTTCTGGTTCATTTTATAACTGTCTGTACAAAATGACTTTGAGTAATAATGTTTGTTATAGGAATTCTAGTTCATTCCACCAACTGAAAAAATTTATTGAAGTTGGCTAAAAATCACTTGACCTAGTATTTGTCAACTTCCTACTATCTTTTAATTTCTATGAATCTTGCCACTTTTAGATAAGTGTTTATCCATTTCAGCTTCGATAGCTCATTAAATTTCACAGATTCAGGATTTTTTACACAATGGATGCCATTTTTTCCTTACCTAAAGTTCGTTTCGGAGAAAATTAACCAACCAATTTGGCGAAATGATTCGCCAACTTTCAATCATTCAAACAAATCCAATTTTCCATTACAACCTTTAAACAAATAAACGTCTAAGTCAAGTTTGAAAATAAGCAGTTCAGTAACTAAGACAGACTGAACACTACTGAGATCAAATTTCAAGCTAAAATGATTTAAAATCACTTTCAATCAGTTTAATATTATTTCACATACTAAAATGCACCACTCAGGACATAATTTAGAAAATACATACATTTACAGAAAGAAAGCATTTAAACAGTATAAGTCACATGACACGTTATCTTTGTTTCTTAACACCATGCATTATATACAATGTGTACAAGGATATTTATAAATTATAAATATTTGTACAAATCATAAAGGGAAGAATAGCCACAGAAGCCAGATAGAAATTACACTTTAGATTCTATAGATATTATACATTATTTATAAATGTACATATCATTAAAATATGAAAGTAATGCGCATATTGTCTCTTAAAATGGAAAAAAATCTTTGATTTCAACTAGAGAGATTATAGACAAAAGTTAGATCTCTTCATAGTAAGCCTTCTTTTAAAAAAAATTCATTTATAAGAGCTTTCAGTGATTCTCTCAAGGAGGAATGCTTACATTTAAGCAAGGGTAACACACATAAATGAAACAATATCTTTACTAAAACCAAATAGTATAGTGTTAACGACATCTGAAGGCAGAATATAACCAGCTTGTCCACAGGGAACCCCTTACCCATTCTGCCTCCAAATTCACTATACCATGCATACGAGGGGGTACCCGCCCAAAACTGGAATTGTGCTGGGTGGAGCGGAGCTTTCATAGTACACATTTAGCATCAAGCAACGTGCTCTGAGTCAGTGCACCCAGTGGCGTCACCTGGGAACGTTCTCTCTGGTCACAGTGAATTTTTCATAAAAGCAGTTTTGCTCAAACCTCGTTTTTTTGTGATGGTCAATTTAAGAGGGCAGAGTGTGACTGTGAAATTTTTTTCCTGCTCAGGAAAAATGCCACAGAAACCGTTGATGTTGAACACAGCTTACCAGGAAAACATTATGGGGAAAACTCAAGTGTATGAGTAGATTTCTCATTTCAAAAAAGGTGAAATTGACGATAAACCTCATTCTGGATGCCTGTCAATTTCCCAAATGGATGGAAACTGTCAACTCATAGTACATTTGGAGTTTGTTTCACCAGGGCAGAGTGTTAATCAAGCTTTCTATATACAGGTTCTGAAAAGACTGCCTAACACTGCAACAAAAAAGTCCTGATTTGTGGCAGACGGGGGGGTTGGTTTTGCCACGACAATGCACCTGCTCACGCAGTCATCTCAGTGCCCAAGTAGTTGGCAAAAATCAGCATGCCTCTTTAGCCCCACACACCTGACCTTGCTCTATTGTTTCTATAAATGAAGAGGGACATGAAAGGACAGAGATTTGACAACGTAGACGAAGTGAAGAAAAAAAATGAGGGAGGTGCTATCAGCCATCCAAACAGATGAATTTGAAAAATGTTTCTAAGAATAGAATTGTAGATTTAAAAATGTCTTAGTGGAATGGAGAATACTTTGAAGGAGATAAGGTTGTTTTGTTCAAAAATAAAACATAACTTTTGGGGGAAAGCATTCCAGTTTGTTTTTTTTGGGGTGGTGGTGGGGGAAGCCCCTCGTACACATTCAAACTCCATGTTCTTAGTTTTATAGATATGGGGACATTTACGTTAAAATGTGAAAAATAATAATAGAGTTTTATTTCTTAAGTTAGGAAAATAAACCTTCACTGTATCCCCTGAGATGTTATATAGCAGAAAAGGAAATGAGAAGAGAATAGCAGGATATACTCTTAACAAAGTGGAGGCCTACCTGATATGCCATTCTTGCTGGTGTTCAATAAAGCTACAGATGCTGCAGAAACTCTTTTATTGTTCACAGTCTGCCCTGGTTTTCTTGAGGTACATTCTTCACTATCATTGTCCTGTAAATTTAGTAGTCTTGGCTGGAAACACTGGAGTCGACATGATCTGATATTGCTTAATATTTCAGAAAGGGACAGTCTATTTTCACAATGTTTATTGGAAGCATTGGTCCGAGAGAAATTAGAAGAAAAGTCTACAGTTTGGGAAGAGCTTGAAAAACCATTCAGCATTTCAGGGTCTATCTGTTTCAGGACTGGGTCATGTTCTGTGGATATTCGGTCCATTATTACTCTGGAAAAACACAACATAAAACCAAATATTAAGGGAACAAATTTTACCAACACTCGTTCTACTCATTCCCTTTTAGATCGTAAACAAAACCCAGTTCAAAATAAATCATTTACCTGCCACCTCTGCCGATTCGTCTCCGTGCGAACCCTATGCATCTTCTCGGGACTGTAAGTGTTGTAAGGCAATGCCTGTACCTCAACTTATCCCAATCTGACAGTTCTGAAGCTTCAAATGAATGGTTCATTTGGTCCAAACGAGGCTGCAAAAGAAAAAGGAAAAAGCAAATAAACAAAATATCCATTAAATCTGAAATGAATGGTAAATGTTAATACAAAAAAAAATTAACTGGAGCTTTAGTAGAACAATTAAAATCTAAATGTAAAACTGGAATTTAGTTTGTAATATCTTTCAAAATCAAACAAAAAATTCATTCACTAAGACAACCCAACTGAAGTATTTTACAATAAATATATCTTTAAAGAATAATACTGTTCTTAACAGGTATGTATAAGAGTAGAGGTAGTAAAGTTAGTAATTTCTAGGCTTCCTATTAGGATAAAACAGAAGAAATTTTTAGGCAACTAAAAATTGGACATCAAGCATGCCTGGGTCCAACTGAAGCTTCCTTTTTAAGGAATTTATAGCCCATTTCTTTGCCACCCCCACCCCCCTGTTCCTTTCCATAATTCTCTTCTGTGTCTTGCTACCTTTGTCCCCCTCCCCCCTTTGTTTTCCTCTTCCCTTAGCAAAATGCACACCCAGCTTCCCACTACCTCTACAGTCTCTCCTCTTTCTCTGCGTGCGCGCGCACACACACACACACACACACACACACACACACACGATTAAGTTATCAGTGTATGTTTACCAAAATGCAATAAGACAAACAGTCTCCACAAGTCACATTATGAAAGCCAGCCTCATTACTCTATAGTTACCCTGAGCATTTGAAAGTGAGGGTCACTCCTTGGTATAATGTTCCACCAAAACTGGACTTAATAGCATAAAGCAAGTTCTAAGTGTGCAAAACAAAACAAAAAAAAAGAAAAACAAAAAATGAACAACACATGATTATTAGGCAAAATATTGCCATGAAAGAATTTAGTAAAAATTTTGAAAATGTTAAAGTTAACTTTCTGCTTGATAACTTACTGGGAATGCATGTACAAGATGGACTTGAACAATAATAAGTTTCAGTAACTACTTAGCAGGCACTGAAATAATCCTGGACTTAACGTTAGCAATGATATATTGAACAATTTTCAACACCCGTGAACGTTATAGTTAACTTAAATAGCTGGTTTTTCAGACACAGATCACCAGGCCTTTCTTCCAATCTCCAACCTTCTGGTTGGCAGCTAAGTGCAATTAATCAGATGTACCACCCTGGGGACTCCTGTATTCATAGAGGGTATTAATATGAAATATCTGATGGAACTTCTTGCTTTTAGGTCAAGTCTAAATCATCTTTACATGGGTTACCTGTTAATTCAAGTTTACAAAAATATCATAAGGCTCTTACAGCATAATACTGGCACCCTGCCCGCCTCCTGAAAGCACAGGGACCATCCGGGTCATTTTCTTCCTCAGCTTCCGACACTGGGGATGGTACCTAGGCAAAAGAGGCATTCTATTTAGGAGGTTTCTAAAGTCCATAGACCAACTTTTATAATAATCTAAAATTAAAATCCTTCTCAAAATTGTAAATCATTCCTATAGTACATATGCTTGGCAATAAATTTCCCCAAATATTTCAAGACCAGCACAATTTTCTAGCACGTGAAAAATAATTTTCAGGGGACTACTTCTTGTAGGTAAGTATACATGGTACTGGTGAATTGCTTCTGAGTATGTGTCACAGACCTGAAAAGCGTTAGCAGGTTTATATATATTAATTTACAGTTTATATGTATAATGTCATATTTTACCAGTTAGACCTCAGCTCTAGGTAAGTGTGTCCTTACCTAATAATTTCTCTGAGTGTAATGATGCTGAACGTGATAAAGTAAACAAAGTCTTTCAAAAAAGGAAAGGATACAAAGAACACGCCTTTTATCCAAAGGAGAACATTCTCTTCTCCCTACTCGTTTCTTTTAAAATCACATCTCAAGCTCAGATCAGAAGTAGAGTATCTATCTTCTGCTAAGGGTGCTTGGACTGGATGCAGAAAGAAGTGAGAGGCTCACAATCTGACAGTACAAGGTTTAAAGGAATCTGGAAAGAGGTGGTGTTTTGCTAATAACGAATGTCTGCCTGTATTGATCACCACGTTCTTTTAAGGTCTATCAGTACGGGTGCAAACTGACATAAGTAACTGGAAAGAGGACCGGGAACTTAGGGGTGCTGAGTGTAGCAGGCAGGAACAGCTCCACTCAGAAGCGTGAGAATGGCTGCACAACTGAGAACGCAGTGAGTGCCCCTGACCTGTCCATGTAGAAAATGCCGAGCCAGTTTGTAGTCTGCTACGCAGGCTGGTGCAGGGACGTCACAGAGAAAATATTTACCTCACTGTCACACCGATAAATATCATGATATATAAAAGCAGCTCTCTGGGGCCATCTGATACCAAGTCAATAACCCTAATGAGATCTGAGTGGACCTTAACGAGCACTGATATATTACAGCACATTCTATGCTCCCATACGGCAAATATATGTGTTTTACATAAATATTTTTCCATCCATAGAGTTAAAATTAAAAAAATGTTCTTTTGCACTTAATTTTCAGCTGTCTTGAAGTTTCACTTTGAAGTCCATCTCATCTTCTGAAAATACTGGCTCAGGCATATATGCTTGCTTAATTTTGAACCTTACAAATCCCTCTCTTCCCAATTTTAGAGCAAAAAGTGCTTTCTCCATATTATTTCACAAGTGTCGAAATCACCACTGAGCAAGGGTCATCTAAGAGAGAAAGGCATTTGTTTGAGGTTCCAATACACCTTCTCTAATTCCATGGGTCATAGAAACCGGCTCTTCTTCTGGGCAAACGGCCTCACTGGCTCGGAACATTGGTCTGAGTGGCCAAACAAGAGGAGTAACGGCAAAACGGAAGAGGCTCTGAGTCTTTAGTGACATACAAGTTCATTCCAAACATGGAAAATCGGTAACATCTGTTTTCTTCCATTGGTCATGGTTTCCCATGGCATCCTTTTTAAAGGCTGGGAATATATTAAAAAGCACACCAGGCTTATGTTATTACTAACAATATAAGGCTATAATGAATCCATTTTTCCAACCACGTCATTGTCTTACTAAAATTCTTTGAGAAGCCATCTGTCTATTAATCCAAGCAAACATTCCCCTCACCTCTACCTCCCTCTTTTCTTTTGCTGTTTTCTGATATATCTTTATTACAATGCACAGGAACGCCAAAATATTATCTGGGGGTAATAAAACTAAACCCGTGGAAAAAAGTAAAAATAATATATGCTCTTGCAGTGCTCTGCAGAATTGATTCTGATGCACAGTAGGTAACCCTACAGGACCAAGTGAACTGCCGCCCTGTCACTCCACCCTCACCCCACCCCACCGCCATGATTTCCTAGGCTGCCATCTGGCTGGAGGCAAATTGCGAAGTCTTTTCTCGCAGCCGAAGTCTTTTCTCGCAGGGAGCTGCGGATAGGGCTGACATCTTTAGCAGCCCAGTTCTTAATCACCCCATCAGGGGTCCTTAAAAACAATCAACCCAGCCCAAAAGGGCACATTTTAAGTAAACTCTAGACTTAAATAATTACCACAACCAAGTGTTTTATAAATAGTTCTGTCTACAAATATATGTTATTTCAAAACAATTTTTAAGCAAGTAAATTAAAATGTTAACTATGTTAAGGCAAGTGGTAGGTCCAAGGTCTTTGTTACAAAAATGCTTTAAACTTTATCACATTGAAGAAAAAAGAAAAAGGTATTTCTATACCAGGAGCTAAACAGTATTAAGATCAAAAATAGTAAAATTAAAACCTCAGAAAACAAAAATGCTTCCTTTTAAATATAAAGAGGTATTGTTATAAAAATTGCCTTTTATATTATAAAAAATCTTTTAAAAAAAGATTTTCAAATTGCAAACGTTTTGCTATAATGCTGTTGAAACACAATGAAAGTTGCAAAAATATAATGCAGGTGGAATCATTGTTGCTGGCAATGTAAAGTTTATAATTACATATCAAATGTCTTAAAATATTGATAATCTTTGTTTCAGCAATTTTCTTTCTAAAATTATTTTAAATACAGAGGGTAGAAATAATGCTTATTTTTTTTATCAAAGGGAGAAACAGATAATCTCATAAATGCCCCACAACAAAATCCCACAATAGAATAAATTCTATCAATGGAAAATAACAAAAAACAAGTACCTTTTCAGTGGCTACATAAAGAATGTAAGAGATGTTTATGCTACAACATTGGGGTGAACAAAGAAGGGAGACAAAGTTCTAAAATGTCAATCATTTCTTTAAAAGATAGTAATAAAAGAAAATGCCTTTAAAATAGCTCCCCCTTCCTCCAAATAGTTTTAAAGCAAGCACCTGTGGAAATTCATCTTCATCTGAGCTGTGAAAGTCGTATTGCTTAATGTCACTCGGATTGATCACAGGCAAAGTCTCTGGCGCCGGTTGCTGGGATGGTAGCAAAGCCTCTGCTTTAGGCTTCTTCGGGCATTTCTTCTTCTGACGAACCACATCAGAAGACTCTTCTTTCACAGACAAATGATGAGGGTGCTGTTGCAGGATGGTTTTTCCCACAATAGGAAGAAATTAAAGACATTTAGAAATCATGAAAAACAATGTGTTTTGAAAAACATTCATTTGCACCCAGGAGGTGATTTGATTTCCTGTTTTTAATATGCAAAAATTATTCTGAGATCAACATGAAAACAGTTTTGCTTTCTACAAGTTCTGATGAAAAATAATTATGGAAATTAAAATTCGTTTTTATGCTGTTATAATATTTAAACTATAGTTAGTGATTTTTAAAAGTTACTCTATTATTTACGCAATACAAACATTTTAAAACTACTTAAATTCAGATTCTACTGTTGTTAAATCTACTGTACTAATTAATGACAAATTAATAACCTTTTATTAAATAACATTAACTGGATTTTTCATTCATTTCTATGCTTATTTATCAGTTAAAAACATTTCTTTAGCTAGTAATTTTTGAGAAAAATGAGTTTATAAGCAAAGGAAAAACCCTCCACTTTTTAGAATGCATAATTATTGTCCTAACCAAATAATAAACTGTTCTCAAGAGGCACAAGGTTCTCTGGAGATTCCAGGGAGGTCAGCTGGCCAAGGAAAGAGCCAAAGGGGTGTGTTTTCCAGCCCAAGTTGCCCGCTCCCTGCAAACCAGAGGTCCATTACTACCTGTTTTAACATACTGGCCTTCCTTATAACAAGGTGTTATACCACTTTAAAAATGAGCGCTCTATGACAGATTATTTAAAAAGAAAAAAAATGTTCCCTATGTAATCCAAATGTTAGAACTATTTTAGGTTAGTACACATATGAAAATGTTTTAAAGTGAGAAATTATCTAAAGGAACACCATTTCCTATAAGGGGTATAGATACTACCTTTTAAAACAAAAATTCAACTTTGTAAAAACTATCCATTTAAGGTTTAATGTGACAAAAGTTAACATAGTTATCTATGTATCAACGGTATAGGTCAACAATGCAGGCAACTGTATCTCTCTTTAAGTCCTACTTAAATAGGCAGCTTATTCTTACTCCCAAACCAAATTCACTGCCATCAAGTCAGTGAAAGTATAATGTTTTATGGGAGTAGAAAGCCCCGTCTTTCTCCGGCATACTTGTGGTTTCAAACTGCTGACCTTGAGTTTAGCAGCCCAATGCCTAACCAGTATACCACCACCAGGTCTCCTCCTCTTCCAAGAGATCGAAATTAAGGATCACTAAATTATAGGCTAATTCCAACAATAATTTGGGGTTAAAGATCATATCCTATGATTACAAATCACAAACCTTGGAATATTAATAATTAATATAAATGTGTTGATGCATGTTATTACAAATAAGATACCGTAAGTATGTTCTTCAATTTTTAATATAATACGCTTGGTGGGGGTTGCACCATGGGTATATAGGTGGGTGGATCTTATCACAATGGATCTAATATGGTACCAGCTCTGGATAGAGAAGGAGGTTTCAAAGGGTTCACAGAAAAATTCCACTATTTTAAAATTCCGTATTTCCATGAACTTTTGAAGTCCACTTGTCTGTCTATCTATCTATCTATCTATCTATCTATCTATCTATCTATCTAGGTAAGCTTAAATTCTTAAATAATTAAAGATACAAAATTACTGATCTAAGAAACCATTTAAGGAATCACTTAGTATGGCTCTTATTTGGGAATAAATGGTAGTCCAGAAGTTAGATAAGATTTTCTCAAGTCATTCAACTCCATCACTGCCACTCACTTCCACAGAGTCAATTCTGACTCAGCGACTCTTATGGGCAGTGTAGAACTGCCCCTGTGAATTTCTAAGACTGTACCTCTTTACAGGAGTAGAAAGCCCTGTCTTTCTCCCTAGGAGCAGCTGGTAGTTTTGAGCTGCTAACCTTGCTGACTGCAACCCTTGCTGACTGCAACCACACCACTGGGGTTCTACTCAGTAGCTGATAAATTCTGGTTCTGACAGTGATGATGACAAGAACATCTTTGAACAGTCTTAATGAAGACAATTTCACTTTCAATTTCTGATGTCTGCTACTACGCTGCATGGTTTGCTAAGGAAGGCTGGTGAAGACCACTAAACTTTAATTACACTAATCTCTGGGGAAGCAAACAGCGCAGAGGAAAATGCATAAACAGTGTTAGACCTAGATTCCAACTGTGACTGTCATTAAATAGCTGTATCATCTAAGTCACACACAGATAAAGGACTGGTAAGAATTATTAATGGGCCAATACATATATGAATAACTCTTAGGAAAGTGTTGGCAAATAGCAAAAACTAAATTTACAGTACTAACTTTTACCCTTAACCAAACTGCATAAAGACAACTACAAGAACAATGAATTGATCAATACTATACTACATGCTTCTCCCCAGAAAATATTCACCTTAGTTTTACATTCTTGGACTTTGTGATGGTTTCCATTATGAAGAGTTGCTGGAGTGGTATATAACTCCTTCTCTGATCTGTTGATTTTCACTTCATTAAGGATCTCACCACCATAGTCTCCCAAATGATACCTTTAAAAGGCAAAAATAAAGGCATAGTTTAAGAATGAAGAAAAGCAAGTGATGCCTCAAATATTGGAACATAATCAAATCAAATAATACACACAATTAATTAAATTATTTTAAAGAGAGCATTTATAGGAAGAATAAGGCTTATTTAATGATGCAGTAAAATGACCATTAATTACACTTGGAAACACATTTCTAAAAAGTTGAAACAAAATGTGTTTTCTCCCTAGCGAGAAAATAAATTATACTTTAATACACAAAATTGGACAAAATGTTCTTTAATTTTTTTCTAAAGAAAAGCATAATTCTACAAAAATTAAGTGTACTAGAGAATCTATAAGATATATAAAAACAAAAATTTCCAGTGCAAGTCGATATCTTAATTGGAAGGGGAGAGATACAGTGCGGGGAGGGAGCAAGTAACATAAATACATAAATACAAATTTGTTACAGAATGTTTATCATACAGCATTGTACAAAACAACAAAAAAGTTTACATTTGGTCCATTATTTGCTTAAAAGTAAACTGTCATTAACATGTAATAGTAGCAATGTTACCTTTTTTCCACAACTTCTAAGGTTAAGTGCAACAATTCTCGTTTTGTTTTCTCTCTTCTCTTAATCATTTCCAAAATTGTTATAGCTCTACTAAACTCCCGTCTCAGTTTCAACATCTTTTCATAAGAGGCCTCATCATTCTTACGATTCTATTGAAAACAATAATTTTAGAAAAACCAATTACCCACACTTCCACCTTTATTCAACAAAATCTTGCCACATCCAAATTTGTCCTATGTAAGTAAACATGCTAAATCATTTTAAACAGCAATTACTTAAGAGAATCTACCTAACTTTGAGAATAGAAGAACAAGCAAATATTTACCAATAAATATTCATTTTAAAAATCAGCTGTTAAAAAGATGGAATGGCACAGTACAAAAGAGATAAAGTGAAAATCCTGAACTCCGAGTACATTAGGAAGTGATATTTTCAAGCATAAGAAGTCCCTTAACTAAGTGAAGCCTGGTTTAATAACTACAAAAGGCTGTTATAATTAGCAATATCTATTTATATATACAGATTATTGTAAAAACATTTTACTAAATATAGAGATTTATATTGGGTGCAGTATTGTTGAATTAAAAAATACAATTACTCCTCAATATATGTGTCCAGATAGAACTGCAACTGTTCATCCTTGAGTTAATTAAAAACCTGAATTTAAAGGGTCTAAAAAGTCATTAAGTTTCATATTGGAGGGTAATAAAAAAAATTTGAGAAAGATTCTAATTTCCCCTTTTTCCTTTAGGTACAGCTTCTTGCATTTGAGACATTATCATTCGATGTCATTAAGCTGTTCTCATTTCACTAAAATCAAATGGACAGAATAGAGCAGGGCGGAGTAGAACCTGCCCAGTGGTTCCCGAGGCTGTTACTCTGTGAGAGGAAAAAGCCGCCTCTTTTTCCCTTGGTGGGGCTGGTGGTTTCGAACTGCTGATCTTGCAGTTAGCAGCCCAATATGTAACCCACTATGTCACCAGGGCATACAGAATATTCAACTATAATGTATTAATCCATCATCCTTCTATTAAAAATTAATCTTTTCCCCCTCAGCACTGTGTGACAAAAGGAAGAATCTAAAGCACAGATGGAAACAGTTTAAAGGTTGCCTCGCCAATAATGTTCCGTTTGAAATCACTAGCTGTTCCTCGGGAGAAAGATGCAGTGCTCTACTCCCATAGAGAGTTACAGTCCTGGAAACCCACAGAGGCAGTTCTACCCTGTCCTACACGATCATCATGAGTCAACTCAATGGCAGTGAGTCTGAGTCTGAAGGGGATTGCTAGATGTTATGGTATTTCTATTTCTAGTTTTCACCAACAAGTACCATATCATTCTCTATAGTGGCTGTACCATTGTAATAACCATTAGCATTTTTTCCTTTTAAATGAACAGATATGTTGTGAGTCTTTGTAAAAGCATCCTTTTCTTATCAAATCAGTTTAATGTCCATGAATTCTAATGTTTGTCTGAAATCAGTTTATTATCAACTGGTCAATTTCCAACTTTTTTATTCCATCTATGTTTATAAGCTGGAATTCTATAAAGAAAAGCCTTCCTTTCCTATTTCCTCTCTGAGTTATCCATTCCATCTATCCATCCATCCATCCATCCATCATTTATTATCTGTATGGGTCCATGAATTACGTAACTATGGTTTAAATAATAATCCATTAGTATGATAAACCAATAACCCATGGTTAAGAATAATCCACTCATCTCATTATTTATTTTAGAATTTTTTTCTATATTTGACCAGGGGAAGTAGTCTTCCTTTCTGACAAGCCTGAGTCTTACTGACATGGCTCTTAGCATTCTTTAATCACTTCATTACTTTGTGGCACAGCAGAAAAGTTCTAGGTTTATCTTCACTTTTCCAGTGAGCCCTGGTTCATTTTAAGTGAAAATGGTATTTAAAATCATTATCTGCATGCTAGATGCTCATTGCTACAGGGTGCCTTTGCTTCTAGTGTCCAATTGAAGCGAGCTAGGACAAATGTATGTAATACATGCACACACATACATACTTCTCTGTTTAGCTTTATCATATTAAAAGCTAAAAGGACACTGGCATTCTTTATATTGAGATATTCTTATTTCTTATATTCTAATCCATCCAGCACTCACTTTATCCTTTCTTGTAACTTCTCTACTTGGGACTTCTTTTCCAATTCCAGTTACATATCACTCTGTGCTTCGTGCTAGATTGGGAAGGAAGTGATTCTCCAACTGCTCCATATTAGAATTAACTGCAGATGGTTTTATAACCAAGAATACGCCACCGGTGATTTTTATGTGCAGTCAGAATCTAGAGCCATTAACTTGGGAGTTTAGCTCCTAACTATTCATCTCCCTTTCAATGGGCCTCGAGAGGGAGGAGAGCTTCTCTGCGGGGCTGGTAGAGGCGAGTTACAGCTAAAGTGTACTCAGACAAGCTGATGTCTTAAGAATATCCTACTCCTATCTTTCACAGTTTGTAAACACAGACAAGCACATAAGCATTTCTAACTAGCAAAAGTATACACAATGGGGACATGTTTTTGGTCCCACAACCGAATACAGAGGGGTAAACAAAGATAAGGATACTATGGGGGGAAAAACAAAATCCAAACTGAGTAATCTGAGTTTGAATGAAATATAGTTAAACTTTTAAAAGACTATATGCAGCCCAAATACTTACTCATTCATTAAAGAAGCCCAACAATACCTTTATTTCAAAAGACATTGCTAAGAGTCTGTCTTTTGCAATCTATCTGAATCAATTTTCCTGGTTTGGACAGTCTTCTTTTTCATGCCCAGTAGTCCACCTTTATAACGTTTTACTGTATTTACAGATTCGTGCTATTCTTTTCTGAGCAAGGTACTACGTTGTAATGAAGTAGCATAGATTTCCTTAGCTTAAGAATTAGAACATCATATTGAAAATTCAGTCGAAGTTAAAGAATGTCACCTATATTTGGGAAAATCATTCTATAGCATTTTAAGAAAATCATCCCCACAAGAAAGACGAGTCGAATTCTGGTTATTAACCACCAGGAAAATTTCTGGCAGTTGTTATGATTCACAGCTGTTCTATATAACAGCTGACAAGGAAAACCTTTCCATGTCTGGAGAAACAGAATCCATGGAAAATATCCTGACTCCGATTATAAATGCTCATGATTTTTCCACTTATAATTTTCCTGATACCTTGCAATGTTAGAGAATGTGCCACTGTGTGTAGTCTTACTCTTAATTAAATAAAACAGAAGGGAGCAATGGTGTGAGTCTTCTGCACCTCTGAGAAAATGCCCGCCTCTAAAGCACACCATTGCACAATATGAGACCTATTCCTCTTTTAGTTAAAAGTTTTGCACATTGCTTCAGAAAGTCAGTGTCCATCAACTTGAAATTTGACACAATGGGCAATTCAAAAAATAGAGAAGATTCTATAGGGTTGCCTCTGATTATTGGTACAACAGCCTTAAAAATTAACTCTTCTATATTCCCCAGATGTAGCTAAAAGCAGCAGGGTCCATTTTTACTGTAAGAATTAGAATTTCACTTCAAAGATTTGTGGGCACTTAAACTCACAACATGGAAAAGTAGTAGTATTTCAAAATACCAGCTTCTCCCAAAGAGGAGATCCATGGTAATGATGTATAGTTTATTGACAAACTCAAAATTTCCCAAGTTCATAAGGATAAGTAAATCCTTGTATCACTTTTACGTCAAGTGTAAAGTTACATGATTTATAAGGAATAGGCTTTGAGTAAAATCTGTAAATAACTGTCAGGATTTCTAATATGAAGTTCATTGACATCTAGTTCCCCCTGTGTTCACTTTATTAAAAAAAGATTCAAGCTCTTAGCAGAAAAATATTTATTACATACTACTATGCTGCATTCAATTAAATCTAATTTGCACATTACCTTTCGAGTTTGCATTTTCTCTGTTCTCCTCCGAAAGGCAACATAGGGGTCATTATTAGTCGAGCCATCTCTTTTCTCTTGTTTGATCTGAGGAATGAGAGATGGCCCCCTGCAGTTTTTACGTTTTCTCACCCAGTAGTCATATACAGCTTTAATAAGGTAATCATCCTCATTCAGTAGCAGTTTTGCTTCTTGAAGTGTTACAAGCTAAATGGAAAACATAAAATGTTATCAACTAAAGTATTCAAAAAAGAGATATCAGAGTTAAACTGCAGCTATAGGGAAAAAATGCGGTCAATTCTAGCAACTATAATCAGATTAGCAATGCAGGACAAGAGGACATATTTCAAGTCAGCCTAGCAAAACAAAACAGAAACCCAAACTCACTGCCACCTTGTTCATGCTGACTTAGAATCTGTAGGGCGCAGTACAACGGCCTTAGGTTTTGCAAAGTTCTAAGCAACCTTTATACCCAGAGATTGCCCCCAAAGTAGTTGGTAGGTTGAAACTCTAACCTTTCAGTTAGCACCCAAGGGCTTAGCTCCTAACAAAGGATTTTAAAAAAAAACGAGATTAAAGGAAAAAAGTAGTATTTTGCTCTGAACGGCAGTTCTAGACTGAAAAAATTTAAGAAGCCTAGATGAACAATGGTTTGGAAGACAACAGAATTATCATTGTTCAAGTAAGGCTTGGACTATAAAGGGATTCAGGGTCCTTTCCAATTCTGAGTTTCTATAACTACAAATTTAAATAACTAGTTTTAAATTCTCTGCTAGCTTCTGTTTATGTCTTTCCTAACAGAAAACACAATGCAGAAATATCTTCACCCACCCCCAAGACAAAGGATAGAAAAATATTCTCTAATATACAAAGGAATTCTAAAAAGTATGGGAAAATAGAATTAAATAATAAATTTTCAATGAAGCCTTTCATATGGCAACATAAACATTGTTTGAAGCCTTTCATATGGCAACATAAACATACCTCTGTAGGAATAGACAAGAGACAAACAGCATGCTTTTAGAACTTTCAACATAATGCAATTTTGAGTTCCTTGTTACTAATTACATATAAAAGCAATCCCTCTACTCAAGCTGGTAAAGTACTAAGGAAGTATCATTAACTCTATGGATATAATCTAGGCAGTGACCCTAGAGAACCTCTGACACTGGTATCTAATTCTACTTTATCAACATAGCCAGCGTAATGCTAACCTATCTCAAACTAAGGATCATAGCTTTTTACTTGGTCACATCAGTTACCCTGTCTGTTTCTCTGGTAGAATACTTAGGCCAATCACACTTGAAATATAGGTTAAGTATATTAATTCACAGTGAACTTCAGAAAAAGATCATGGAGTATGGGGACTAGAAAGCTTCGTAAAACTGATGTTACTTCAATATTTTTACACTTTAGAGATGAAGACCGATTTTCAAAACAAGCTGAGATATCACCTAAACTGTTTCCCTAGAGATAAAGGGGAAAAAAATCTCTCAATTGAAACTCAGATGAACATATAAATTGATTGCACGTTGTCTGAAAGAGGCATGGCCTCACCAAATTATTCCTGATTATGATTTGCCTTCTCATATTAGGATCACAGATCCTTTGCATTTCACATCTTGTGATGGTGATTTCTAAGGTTCCTTACTTGATTGTCCACAGAAGTGGAGCTGAGGAAGGGAATACACTGGCCATGCAAATTACGTGCACCCGAATGGTTTACCCCTAGTCTCAGTAGAGGTAACTTCACTGTAGCTGATTAACTGAGAGTATCTGGTCTTTAAGGTGGATGGCCAGAGTCCGAGGCATGAAAACGACCACAATTCGTCCACATCATCTTTAAATAGATCTCTTTCTACTCTTAGGTGGAGTTCTTTTAGAATGGTGAGATATGCTCCAAAATCCTTAATGGGTAAGAACTGACTTTCTGGAAAAGTGAAAATCTACCGCATGCTGATTGCATCGCTGGTAGCTCTGATGCATTCTGGGGCTAAGGGAAACAATTCTGTGATAAGGTACATACGCATCAGCTCTATTTGGTTGTTTTGTTTCAGATAAAATTTGATAACTTTCACTAAATAAATCTAGAACTTAATTAACCTTAGAGTTAATCAGGAAGATCTCTTTTCAACAACCAGCATAGTATTAATGGATTTCTTACGTAACAATACTATTAAAGTAACACTCCTCCCTAGCCTTCTGACTGACCCGGCTGAGGAGGAAAACCCACAGTGCTGCCTGCTCCCGCTGGCACCGCCCTGCTGGAAGTACCCTCATTATGTCAGAGGAAATGGGAACTCAGTATACAGTATACAGTTAAACCTGCTGACATTTCTAATTATAACCGCATTTTCTTGGTTAACTGCTGTTTTTATGCTGTTATGAAGCACATTTTTATTTTATGTGATAATATTGGTTTCAACCCAATCTATACTAAGGCAGCTAATTATCACTGCACATGTTATCAGGATAATGGCAACTATTTGTGGGCAGAACTATTTGCAGGTAAGCAGTCACTATGTCACATGATTAAAAATTCCCATAACCTACTTCATTTATACCCTATAGAAAATGTTCTGCCATTCAGGTTTTTATCCATATGAAAATCCTGGGAATCAGTATTCACCTAACAAAAAGATTTGTGTTACATTTATTATTTCCAAGTCAACTGAGTTTGACTTACCTCATTAATTATTCTGTAAACTTCAGGATGGGGGAATAAAATTTGGATTTCATGATGAGGATTTTTCTTATAGATTGCTCTTAGCTCCAGAGACCCAGACTATTTAGTTTATTAATATACACAAATCTCATGGTCTAGTATTTTCTTCTGTTTTAATAAGTCTTTTTATTGGGGGCTCTTACAACAATCCATACATCAAATGCATCAAGTGCATTTGAACACACAAATAAATTACATTAAAAAAAAAAAACCCAATATTTTAAATTTACGTCAATTAATCCCTAACCCCAAACTCAAACTCACTGTCATCAAGTGGATGGCGACCTACAGCCACCCTACAGGACAGAAAGCCCTGGAGCTTTCTGAGACTGTTACTTTTTTAAGGTAGTAGAAACCCACATCTTTCTCTCCAGGAGTGGCTGGTGGTCTTGAACTTCTGACCTTACAGCAACTACTATACCATCAGGGCTCCCCATGAATCACTAAGTAATTAATAATTAGCTACAAGCCCATCATTTTCCATATGGAGAAATAAGGAAAAACCTTTCACATGGATTTATCCCTTAAGAAATATACACTAAGACAAATATATTACTAAGCAATAAGAAAATATGAAAATTATGGTACTGAGTAGTAGTGCAATCAGATACAGGGTTGTCAGAAAGACATTCCATTTGGGAGTGTCCGAATTTGTTTTCCATGTAAGTTATCTCTTCATACTACATTTCACTTCTTTCATAATGGATGTTTATTATTTGTATACTACTTCTAAAGTCAGGTTTCCAGATCAAGGTTTTCCTGCTACTTGATAGTATGGTGTTCTATGAAACCTTTTGTAAACCTAAATGGCATAAAGGGGAGATGCAAATACCATTCATCTACGTGGGAAAATCTGTGAGCTTTTAGAGCGCTGGCAGCTTGCTGTAGAGGTGCTGAGTGTAATTCCTGGAGAAGAGCTTGTGGTATCATTCTCGGGTTCTTGGTGGGCACTTGCCTGTTTAAACAAACCTGGAATACGAACTTCACTGTTCGCCTCTACTGGTTTTGGAGGGGTGTGTGTGTAAATTCGAAAATCCTCTCCAGATTTTTCAGTTAGTGGAAAAAGGTACTAATGTACATCTTTTATGAAAGTGAACTTTTGAACTGTAGGGGAATTCAGAAATAGTCAAACAATCATTTTTTACCTTTCTCTCCAAGAATGAGGGCCTACAGTTCAAAGGCATGGATGATGTTGGTGGCAAGGGGTGTTCTGTTTTGGACACAAGTAATGGAAGTCAGGAAGTCATGACATAGTCTAGTTCTAGGGGAATTTACACTGAGGACAGTGGATGATCAATGAAGCAGAGAATGTTAACTAATGAAAAATAAAGTGCTATCTGTTTATGGAAAGAGATAATATGACTATAAATTAAGACATTAGGGTTTTAGAAAGAACACATGAAGTATATATTTTAAAGGAAACTATGAAAGTAAAATGGGTAGTTTGTGATATCCAAAAAAGATGAACTTTTATTGCAATACAATTTCAAGCATTGAATATAATTTCAAGAAAATTTGTAATAATAAAAACACTTCAAAGAATAGTTGTAAAACCAAAATCTGTATATGTGGGAATACACACATATGTATATATATGTTCAGTTGTCCCTCAGCATCCATGGGGAATTGATTACAAGACCCTCGCAGATACCTAAATCCATAAACACTCAATTACTTTTTTAAAAATGGCATAGTATTTGCTGATAATCTCTGCATATGCTCATATATATTTTAAATTATCTCACAATTACAATATTTAAAACAATGTAAATGTTACATAACACCACTTCATGCTCCTTCTTAGTCTTTGAGGTTATTTTGATCACTTATATTTAGTTGCTTTTTAGGAGCTATGTTTTCACAGAAACAAAATACATACAAATAACAAATGAAGGAGACACAGGGGAATCATGTTGAACAAATAAATGCTGGAGACAGAGGACCTGTGCAACGGCAAGAGACTACAGTCGGGAATGACTACATCACAGCATCAGCATAATATTTTCCACCTGTTGTTGACAGGATTTACAGAAGCTGAACATAATGTTGTGGAAGGCAGATTATGTATGTATGTATGAGAGGTTTCAAAAGGTTTGTAGGAAGGTTCCATTGTTTGAATTCCAGTTTTCCACAAATTTTGAAGCCCTCTGTGTGTGCACAAGTGTGTATGTGTGCACACAGAAGGCAAAATTATGGACACTTCTTAGACTTAACTTCTGGGATTGAAGGTTTAGGGCCATCATTTCCTGGGACAATTAAGTTAATTGGCATGAAATAGTTCATAAAGTGTATATTCCACATCACAATGAGGTGAGTAGGCTCTGAGTCTTAAAAGTTTGTGGGTGGCCATCTAAGATATGGTAACAGGTCTCTACAAAACCGAAAGAAGGAAAGCAATGACTCAACAAAGAAACTGTTTTACAAATGAAGTCTACTCAAACCTTGGCCTCATCTATCCTGAGCCCACAAGAAATAGATGGTGCCTGGCTCCTTACTACGGAGAGTTCAGATCAGGGCCATAATAAATGGATCCTTATAGAATGATAGAGAAATGTGGAACAGAACCTTTAAATTCCTTTAAATATTTAAGGACTATTTCAATTCCTTAAATATTCAGAATTGAGACTAAAAAACTCCTGAGACTACTGCCCTAAGAGATTCTTTAAACCTCAAACCAAAACTAAAATATGAGGGGCTAGTTTGAGCGGAGTAACAACTAAGACACAGAATCAAGAATATCACCATTGAATACCGTGCTCCTTAAAAAAAAAAATCTCTGTGACAGCAAATGGTCTATGATTGCTTTAAACAGAGCAGCTCAAGTGAAAATAATGACAACACTCATGCATTGTGAAGAATGAAACCAACGTCAACAAGCAATGTGTGTGAGAAACGTCTAAAAACCAACCCCCCAATCTTCTACCCTTTACCCAGATTCACACCCATTTGTTTCAATATTTATGTGAATGCTTTTTCTACAATACATAGCATTAAAAAAATTCCATTTGAGACAAAAGTGCATGTACAGCATGGCTCTTTACTTCTAACCAAAGTGTGGATGTCCTAAGAATAAGAGTATTCCCTTTTATAATCACAGTACAATTATCTTGGATAAATTTAACATTGATATTTCAATCCAATCTACCATCTATCTGTATGTCAACTGATTGAAAAATAATCTTCGTGGCATTATTTTGTTTTGTTCTTGTTACAAGATCTAGTCTCGGGTCAAGTATTACAATTAATTGCCGTGTTTGAAAGAAGCGATTTTAAGAAGAAAAATTTAAAAATTAGGTAAAGTAATTCAATTTAAGGATGGGAATAAAGGGATGCTTCCAAGTTTTGGGAGTCCCTGAATAGGAAATGGATCATCAGAGGCAAAGGAGTCTGTTCTGTTTGGAAAAGTTAAACTTGTAAGGTCTGCTGACCACCTAGATGGAGATGCCCAAAAGGCAGCAGGAAAAAAGATTATTTTTGAGCTCCAGAAAGAGGCCATGGGTAAAGACACAAGTATAAGGGGGCTTCCAAAAGTTCATGGGAACATTTCCATGAACTCATTTAAGTCCCCTTGTAGTATTACATCCATGAAAATATTGAGTGGCAATGTCACCCCAAAATAAGAAGATAAAAAGACTAAGAAAATAAGTGAAACTCTGATGTTTACATGATCTTAAATGCTAATGAAAGTAACCAGCAAAGGAAGACTAAACGTTCATGAGTAATAATAAGAAAATTACAGAAGAACGAATTGTATTTATGAAACCAAAGATAAAGACAGTTGTAAGAAAGAGATTGCTCAAATGTGAGAAGTAGATGAGGCAATGAAAATGATCTTGGCTTTTGGCAGCGATCGATGGCTTCACTGAAAAGGTCTCCCTGGACTGATGAGGACAGGAGCTTTGCCTCACCCTGTCTTTCATGTCTTTCTTTATCACCCTCGTAAATATCAGCTTAACCACAACTTGAGTCCTGTCCCTAGGAATGCAAACTCCTAAACCAGAAAACTAGAGATTTATGAATCCATAGAATAAGACTCGGGATGAAAAGAACCCCTTGCTGTTTTTCATCCTTGGTTTTACTAATAGGACGTTTATTTTGTTCATAAAACAGTATCTTCATCTCCACTGCTAAAAATAAATGCTATATTGCTCTGAGTTTAACCAGTTGTTTTTGTTGGTGGTGGTGTTTTTTGGGGGGAGGGTGGGAAAGTTTATCATTGAGCAAATACAACTAAACTAGAAAGTGATAAAACTGGATGGTACTGATTATATTTGGAAAGTTAACTAATTTTCTGTGAAAATGTGTTTTATGCTATATAACTGGAACGTATGAGTTTTTATGTTTATCCTGTCCATCTGTCTGTCCCCGTCCGGCATTTAGGTAATAAGCTTCATAAAGTAAGGCTTTCTGTCACCTGTCGTGTTCACCTGGATACAAACAATTAATACTGACTGAATGGGAACAAACAAATGACAGAAAAGAGCTTTTGACAATATAATTAGTCAACATGAGTAATTTCTGAATACAGAAAATAGTAGAATATAAGAAGACTAAAAACATGCAAGTAAGAGGGAGGGTGGGGGAGGGGGGAAGATGAGCTGATGCCTAGAGCTCAAATGGAAAAAAATGTTTTGAGAATGATGATGGCAACATATGCACAAATGTGCTTGACACAATGGATGTAGGTATGGATTGTGATAAGAACTGTTTAAGAGCCCCCAATGAAATGATTTTAAAAAATCAAAACAAACAACCAAAAAAAACCCACACAAATAAAAATTCCAATACCCTCTCACCAAACTTAAAAACAATAAAATAGAAGAGGGAGACGAATAAAAGTAGATCCTACAAAGCAAAGACTTAATGTTTAGAAAGAACAAATGACTAGAGGCTACGATGGTGCTATTGACAATGCAAGAGAAATGAGGTCTCCCCGTGGGAGTCATTAAGTATGAGGAGCAAGAATATACTGTAGAGGACTCTTATGGATTTCTTACGAAAAAGTGTCCATATCCTTGTGGCTAAGAGAATGACACACTAGTTAAATAGGACGGCTGAAAGAATAAAGAGGATTCTGTAGAATGCCCAAAGACTATGTTCAAGTATAAATAGAACTGCTACGAGCAAAGCTCACTTTTCCACATAAATAATTTTATGTTCTGTTTTTGAAGTCTATTATTATAGAGCATTTTCCCATGTCCATAGATATCCTGCAAAACAATTATTTGTAATAGCCTTATGATATCCCATCCCACAGATAACAATTTATTCTGAATGTCCCCGTTCAAAGATCAATGACACCGTCACTAAGAGGGGACTTCAAAAAGTTCACAAATTGAATTAAAAGATTATGCAATTTTCTCACAAACTTTGTAGAGCCCCCTCATAGTTCTCTTGAGAAAAATTCCTATAAATGAGATGATTAAATCAAAGGATATAAACATTTTAAGACTCCTGTCTTATATTACCTGAATGCTTTCTATTTTAAATTCCCAATGTCATGTGTGAGAACAGCCCACTAAAGACAATTCTTATTGGTATATATTTTTTTCTTCACTTGAAAAAAAATTCTATATAAATGATTAAAACTAAAATATACTTAATGTGCTAATAAAAGCACCTTAATATAAACCTGAACAATGGAGTATATTTGATTTGACATGAGATAACTGCTGTAGGGCCCCAACCCAGGAAATTTAGTTTCTAAGGAAGCAAAAGACAGTCCCCATGACATCTTAAGAGCTAGTATCATTTATATATTTTTTTAAAAAAAACAGTTGGAACATTACTATTCTTCACAGTCCAAATCAAATAAACTATGCTTATGTAGTCAGCCAAAGGAGCATGCTGTAAATAGAAATTCTAGGATAGCAGGAAGAGAAATTGGAGAGTTAGCAAATACAGCGTATTCAGATCTAAAGAAAATGAAAAACTAAAACTGCTAATTGGCTTAATTATAAAGCGAGAGGCATTTATGTGATACAATACCTGATTAGAACTGGCTTTTTCAAGGCGGTCAATCATAATTTCAAATTGCAAAGGCTTAATTTCCATCTTTCTGTTAAGTCTGTTTAATAAAGTTTCATCTTCTGAATCCATATCATAATCTGGTTGCTCGTTGTCTAGATTAAAGGCTAGAAAAGAAAAAAAAATTCTTCAAACTGAGAAAAAATGAAGTTACACATTTTATGATATTTAACTATAAAATACTTCTAAATTACAATGCATTGACTAAAGTGGAGCCCATAAGCAAACCTGTTAAGCTTGGTTGCATGATGGAAGATACTAGGGAAAGTAAAAAAGCAAAGCTACCAGGTTTCCAATTCATATATGCATAGATTTATGCAAACCATACCTACTCTGACATTTTTCTGTGACCAATGGATGATTGCAGATAAGTTTTCTTTCTCATTAAAGCATTATCTTAACCTTCTTAAGGTGTCTTAAAAAACAAAACACTGGTATCCAAAGAGATGTGCTGGGCCAGGAAAATTAAGGCATAGAGGTCAGCTCCTCAAGGTCATGCTGAATGTTTTTTAGAATCCCAAAGAAGTAATCTTAATCTTGATGGATTTTCTTCAAGACACACGATGTTAGGAGGCCTCGGGGTTTATTAAAAAGAAATTCGAAGGAAACGGCATTGGTGAGAAAAAGGCCAGCAAAGTTGCACCAGGGAAGTTTTTCCCACCAGGACCAATGAACACGCTCATTCTTTGAGGGTTAGAAGGGCTTTCCTACAAGAATTTCTTTGTAAACTTTATCCCACCCACCCTACAGTCTGACCATGTCTCCCCTCAAATGTCTTTTGGTTCCCAAAATGCAATGAAAAAAAAAAGTGATGGGCCCCTCTCCTCTGTGGTTGCTGAGACTATAAATCTTAATGGTAGTAAGCCTCACCTTTCTCCCAAAGTGCTACTAGTGGTTTTGAACTGCTGACCTTGCAGTTAGCAGCCTAACATGTAACCATTGGGGCTCATGATTTGAATGCCTAAAAAACAAAAACTCAAACCTCACTGCCATGGAAGCCAATGCTGACTCATAGCGATCCTATAGAACATGGTAGGACTGCCCCAGGAGTTTCTTATACTGCAGCTCTCTACAGGAGTAGAAAACCCAGTCTTTCCCTCATGAGCAGCTGGTGGTTTCAAACTGCTGACCTTGCAGTTAGCAGTTCAACGAGTAACCATTATGCCATTAGGTCTCCCAACGGTCACTAAAAATGTCATTTCGATATGGCATTTATCAAAAAGGACATAATTTGGAGGGAGGGAATTAAAAGAAAACCTGCCTTCAGAAGTGTACAAGGTGGCTTCAAAAGTTTGTGGAAAATCTTATTACTCTTCATTCTACGATTCCGTGAATGTTTTGAAGCCCCTTGTATAAAAAGAGGATGTGTCAAGAAATAATAGCTTTATTTTATTTTTGTTAATAAAAGTTTCTATGATTTTATATCAATATGTTTTCATTTAGCATCATAAACTGATTCACGTGATTTTTAAGGTTTAAAAGAACAGTAAAATGCTTTAAATTTATTTATACTTTCTTTTTAAAAATTATTTTATTTTAAAATATAGTATAAATTTTATTTTATCGTATAAAATAATTATTTTTAAATATAGGATAAAATGAAAATATGTGCAGCAATTATGTAATAGATGACATATAACAATATAGTGGTTTGGTACCACAGTGAGAATGTATAGAACAAAATAAAGAATTCAAAAACAAATTCAAGCACAAAGTATATGATGGAATTGACCCATGAAATTTGATTTTTTAAATAAAAGGTGGAGTTTGCTAGCATCAAACTCAAACCAAACTCACTATCATCAAGTCCATTCTGATTCATGATGACAGTTTTGGAAACTGAGGGCAGTTCTACACTGTCCTATGGGATTGCTCTGGTCAGAACTGATTCAAAGGCAGTGAGTCTGAGTTTATGGGATCAAATACACAACAACAACTTGGCCAATGAATTTATGTTAATTAGGAAGGAATAACCCAGAAAATGAGAATAAAGTGTTGTACAAATCAAAGAATGTAATTAATGTCACTAAATGGTAACTATACAAACTACTGAATTAATGTATGTTTTACTTCATCTCAAGAACAGAATCAAATACATGGCTCTTTGATTTGCCAATTCTAATTCTAGGAATTTATTCTATGAATAGATTTATACAGAGACCAGGACACACATACATAAAAGGATAATTTTTTAAACTTGTTTATAGTAGTAAAAAATATAATGCAAGTAGCTAACTAAATAAATGCACTACACAGTTTATATACACACTATAGTGCACTAAGTTTTTTTTAAGGGCAAAGATTATGTGCAAATGCAGGCAGATGCATTGAATATTTTTGGAAAAACATACAATAAATTGGTAATAGTTCTTTCAGAGTAGGGTGACTGGAGGTAGGGTTGAAGGATGATGCAGAACATTAAAATATTTCTTTGTTCCTTTAGGAATAAATTCTTAAAATGTAAATAAAGTGGGAGAATTAAAAATACTGCAAATGTTTTGAAATCACATGGTAAGACATGGTGCAAGGCAATCAAAGAGATAATAGCTATCAACAGGATAGTTATTTTAAAGGCTGTCTGTCTACCATAAAGCATAAATTAATATTCTACATCCATGCCTTATAAAATGTCTGACACCTTCATACTCAGCATGATATTATTAAAGATAGTACTCAACAAAGTAACAAGGCTGTGTTAATTTGTACAATTTTAATAAAATCAGTCCTTCCACTACAGGTAAGAGTGGATTTAAAATATTTAAAGGGAATAAAGCAATTAACTATATCTCAAAAACTGAAGTCTAATTGATTAAAGAAATTATACCACTGTATAATAACAAAAACAAAACCACTGTATTTGTTAACACTCATAAACTAATACAGTACTTATCATAGGCCAGACACAGACTCATTTAGCATGGACCAGGCAGTATTCTAAGTGCTTTAGAGATACTATTTTTTCCCTATTCTTTTTTAAGGCAGATTGCTCTTTAAGTCTGGGTGCAACGTTACAGGACTCAGCTTTATATGCCACAACCTACATTTCGGCATGTGACATTGTGGTGACCCTCAACGTAACAGCACTCACCCCACTCCTTCCTGGGGTTCTCGCCATCTCCATTCACCCATCTTCGCTGACCCTCCTAATTTTTTTTTTTTGGGGGGGGGGAGTAATGGGGTGGTAAAAAAAGCTGAATTTTCCATGTGTGGTTGATTGATTTGAGATGCAAGTTCTAATGGGTATTATTGTTCACTATATACCTATCTATCTATTGTTTGGCTAAAAGGTGATCCCCATGAGTGGGTTCAGTTCCAGGTTTGAAGGGCCTCTGACGGGCCCATGTCTAGGGAGGTTGTTCTACAATTGTCCTCCCATGTTATCCAGGCCTTCTGCTGTGATGCCTATCTGACTGGATGGGCGGTGGTAGTAGCTGGGCATCATCTAGTCCCCTGGTCACATGCTAATGGATACTGTGGTTCACATGGACCAGAGGACCTTTGAACTGTTTGAGTCTTTGACATATAAATACTAATTTCATTTTCACAGGCAGCCTGTGTGGTAGGTAGTATTTTATCTCCCAATGAATTTTATAACCTAAGGTTTAAAATTGTATTTAACATGTATCGCATACTATACAGTAAATTTAACTCATTAAAGAAGTTATAGGTGAACTAGTTGTACCGATTTTTAGAATATTCATTATAACACCCTGAAAAAAATCAGATAGATTTCTTCTTATTCTTATGTACGATTCCATTATATTAACAATAATTCACACCATTCACGTCTTTCAATAAGTCAATTAACGCTATCAAATTTAATGAGAAATTATATAGATAAAAAAATACTGATTTCTAAAATTTACTCCATTCCCCAAGGGACACTATGTTCGTAAATGCACATAAGTGACAACGCAATCGTGTGCCTTCATAAAGTCCGCACACTAATAAGAAATAGTCAATAAAACTCGGTAGCTCATACTAGACAGCTTTTTAAAGAAAGATTTTGGATTGAGTTAGCCCAATATACTGAATTTCTATGTTAATACGGTTTCATAAGTTCAAAGGGCAAGGCATACTTTATACATGACCATCTTTCATACACCTACATGATCTTACTCACCTCTCATTCCTCCATCTCCTATCTGCTCTATCTTCTTATTCTATTCTTATAAAAGCCAGCACCCCAGCTTGTGAGGCAGGGGGAGGGGCAAGAAAAGCTGGGAAACAGTTTAGAAAAATTAATTGTGAGATGTGACAATGTGTTAAATCAGAACCAGGGCAGACTTGCACTAGCACTATAAGTATCCTAATACTACTATTTCTCTTTTTATTCAAGAACTACACAAGAACATCATTATAAATTTTGACCACTAAATCTTTATAGGCTCCCTCCCAACCCCGACAGTGGTTTACCTGTACCTTGTTTTACCTCATTATTGGTCATCATTCCTACCAGACAAAAAGGCAAAACTCTTAAAAGTATTGATTATTCTAGTCATTCTTGTATACCTCCTGCTCAGCATTTAAGACAAGAGTGGGTACCAAATGATGCTGAGTAAAAGTAGCATTTATTTTAGCATTTAAAATATATACACATATAGGAAGAGATTCTCTTTAACTATGAACAGAATGCTTTCTACATTTATGGGCACTTTAATTTTTGAAACTCAGAAGCTTTTTCCCACTAAAAACATAAATATTGTACAGAGTATCCTATTTCACAGGCAGTACATCAACAGAATAAAATACCCACCCCTCAGAAAAGAGCAGCAGGGCCAGCAGTACAGTTAACAGTTTCTTGATATCATCGGGCCAACAGAATTTAGAAATAAATAACCGAATAAGGACATATTTCTGTGGGCATGCATAGATGACACCCTGTGGTGAGGCCAAATGAGTCACAAGAGAAAAAGACTAGGGAATCTAAGAGTGGATATGATAGACATAAGAAAGAAAGTGGAGGGAAAGGTAAGGAGATCAGCACGTTCCTTGTGCTAGCCTCCAGGGGGCTGGTCAACACTGCACAGGAGTTATAGCACTGTGTAGGGAAGGAAGTAGGTATAATCAGCACTCGGCCTATAAAATACATTCAAAAATTGCTTAT